ACTGCCCGGGGAGGGTGGGCGCGTCCGGGCGGCATCTCCTGCTGTGCCGGTGCCTGGGGGAGGGTGCTCCCGGGGCTGCGAGCGGCACGCTGGTGTGCTTCTTCGCTTAGTCCGCGCCGTAGAAATTGATGTGCTTGGGTGATACGTAGGCAAAAGGTATGCGCGCTTTCAAAAAGAAGTATGTTAATTAGGAACAGTGTCATTAGCCATTGCCAGGCGCTGTGGTCCGAATGCGACATTTCACACAGCTGAAGAGTTGACAGGTAGGAGGTACCCTTGTGTCGGTGTCTTGTAACTCCTTTTTACCTGTTCTTTAGTGTAAAAACTGAGCGTGAGAACTAGGGAAGCTTGTGTAATCTCCACATCCCCTGTGGAGATGTGAAGGAGGCATGGCTGTTGGAGTGTTGTGGTTTAACCCCAGCTGGGCACTACGCCCTACGCGCGACACAGCCAGTGCCTCACTCCCCCCAGTGGGATGGGGGAGAGAGTTGGAAGAGTAAAAGTGAGAAAACTCGTGGGTTGAGATAAAGACAATTTAATAGGGAAAGCAAAAGCCGCACATGCAAGTGAAGCTAAACAAGGAATTAATTCACCACTTCCCATGGGCAGGCAGGTATTCAGCCATCTCCAGGAAAGCAGGGTTCATTCAAGTGTAATAGTTACTTCGGAAGATAAATGCCAGCCTGTCAGCCCGACCACGGTACTGGGGAAGATTATGGAGAAGTTCATCTTCAGGGCGCTCACAAGGCATGTGCAGGACAACCAAGGGATCAGGCCCAGCCAGCACGGGTTCATGAAAGGCAGGTCCTGCTTGACCAACCTGATCTCCTTCTATGACCACCTAGTGGATTAGGGAAAGGCTGTGAATGTTGTCTTCGTGGACTTCAGTAAAGCCTTTGACAGCGTCTCCCACAGCATTCTCCTGGAGAAACTGGTGGCTTGTGGCTTAGACAGGTGTACTCTTCACCATATAAAGAACTGTCTGGATAGCTGAGCTAGAGAGTTGTGGTGAACCGAGTTAAATTCAGTTGGCAGCCAGTTACAAGTGGTGTTCCCCAGGGCTCAGTTTTGCGACTGGTCTTGTTTAATATCTTTATTGATGATCTGGATGAGGGGATTGATGCTCCCGCGGTAAGTTTGCAGACGACACCAAGTTGGGTGGGAGTGTTGATCTGCTGGAGGGTAGGAGGGCTCTGCAGAGAGATCTGGACAGGCTGGATCGATGGGCCAGTGTCACTTGTATGAGGTTCAACACGCCAAGTGCAGAGTCCTGCACTTCAGTCACAACAACCCCATGCAATGCCACAGGCTTGGGGAGGAGTGGCTGGAGAGCTGCCCAACGTAAGAGGACCTGGGGATGTTGGTCGACAGCCAGCTGAACATGAGCCGGCAGTGTGCCCAGGTGGCCAAGAAGGCCAACAGCATCCTGGCCTGTATCAAAAATAGTGTGGCCAGAAGGAGTAGGGAAGTGATTGTGCCCCTGTACTCGGCACTGGTGAGGCCGCACCTTGAATACTTTGTTCAGTTTTGGATCCCTCACTACCAGTAGGACATTGAGTTGTTGGAGCGTGTCCAAAGCAGGGCAATGAAGCTGGTGAGGGGTCTGGAGAGCAAGTGTTATGAGGAGCAGCTGAGGGATTGTTTAGTCTGGACAAGGTTGAGGAGAGACCTTATCACTCTCTACAACTACCTGAAAGGAGGTTGTAGTGAGGTGGGTGTTGGTCTCTTCTCCCAAGTAACTAGCGACAGGACAAGAGGAAATGGTCTCAAGTTGCACCAGGGGAGGTTTAGACTGGATATTAGGAAAAATTTCTTTATGTAGAGAGTGGACAAGCATTGGAGCAGGCTGCACAGGGCGATGATGGAGTCACCATCACAGGAAGTGTTGAAAAAAATGCGTCAACGTGGCACTTCGGGACATGGTTTAGTGGGCATGGTGGTGTTGGGTTGACGGTTGGACTTGATGATCTTAGAGGTCTTTTCCAACCTTAATGATTCTATGATTCTATGCCATCTCTCTGAACGTCCCCTGCCTGCCTTCCTCTTCCTCCAGCTTTATATACTGAGCATGACGTCATATGGTATGGAATATCCCTTTGGTTAGTTGGCGTCAGCTGTCCCAGCTGTGTCTCCTCCCAGCTTCTTGTGCACCCCCAGCCCACTTGTTGGTGTGGTGGTGTGAGAAGCAGAAAAGGCCTTGACTGTGTGTAAGCACTGCTCAGCAATAACGAAAACATCCCCGTATTATCGACACTGTTTTCAGCACAAATCCAAAACATGCCCCCATACTAGCTACTATGGAGAAAATTAATGCTACGCCAGAGAAAACCAGCACAAAGTTCAGGTAGGGATGTTACCTCTGGTTAGTTGACTCAAACATAAATAAATAAATATGGAACTTGAATTTCCTAGTTTAGTTCACATTCCAGATGGCAGTGTGGGATCAAGGAACAGCTTTATAAGTAATAAATCTTATGTTCACCTCTATGGTCAGAGCTAAGGCTTCTGTTTACTGGCTTTACCACCTTCCCTTACTGTTCTACTTTCTAACCTAAAATTTATTTTCCTGTGAGAGAGAAATGGAAACTGCTTTTTCTGTGCAGTACATACTTGTAAAGATGATGGCAATACTTGAAATTGAGGAAACAATTTCAACTAGTTAGTCTTGACAGTGCTGTAAGCCTTTGTGTTCTTTGCTTATGGTCATTGCTTTTTGAATAACTGCAAGTTTATTTTATACTTCAGGTATATGAAGAAAAGGATTATAGAAGAGTTAGATTTGTTGGACGACAAAAGGAGGTAACTCATTCTACTTTTACTCATGTGAGAGGAGGTGGTTTGTGGGGTTTTTTTATACCTGATATTGATGTCTCCAACTTCATTGTCATTAAAAAAAAAAAAACAAAACCAAAACAACAAACCAACTGAACCCAAAAACCACAACCAAAACCAAATTGTTTTGGGTTTTGGTGTTTTTTTTTCTCTGCAGTGAAAAGTCTTTTTTTTTTAAGATGGCTTATAGTAGCTTCTGTGTACATCCCTACTTTTGGCAAATTTGGAAAATGCAAAACTTGCCCTATACGTGTTAAGTGGTTACATTTAGGCTGTATAAGTTGTAGGCATTTGAGCATGTTAAACTTGGATCACTTTTTGTTTTAAGCATGTGTTTTAAGGAAATTTTAAGCATGTTTTTAGTGCCATTTCTGTTCAGAAATATTACATCATTAAATGCTCTGGTGAATCATGCATCTATATATCTGTTTAAACATGCGTTTTGAAGCTTAATTTGCTTCTGCATAGCTAAAATTTTGATCTTTATCCAAACTGAGTATTTAATGAGGGCGCTTCATTTCCAGAGCCTGGGAAGCATTTGCTGTAATGGTGATGTTATTTAACAAATAAAACTAAATTTTAGAGTATTCCGAAATACCGAAGCCTCAAAAGCAAAGTCCAGTAACACCAGCATAAGCCAAATGTACTGCTGTGAAGTTATTTTGTGGGCCTGTTGCTGCTGCTTATCGGTAGAGTGGGTACATGTAATTTTAAGTCCTTTAGCACCAAGTTCTCTAATGATCAAGCAGCACAGATCCATGAGGGGTCTGCTTGCCTTTGGGAGAGAAACAGAGAGTGTTTCAGCTAAACTGTATTCCTCAATGCCTGAGCACCTGAGTAGTGCCTTAGTGTTAATGCTATAATTGCGTATGTATAGTAGAGGCATTAAATATAAGGTGTGGTGGATTTTTAATGTAGTTGCATATAATTATTCCCTTCCTAAATTAACCTGAATTAATTATGCTGATTTCTGAGTTTTCATATTGAGTTTACCTCATTGTATCACGGATACAATTTAATTTGTGCTGCGTGGCAAAAATAGGGATTCTACATGGGAAACAGTTAAATGAAAATGTCACTTAAAATGCTGAAGTAGTTTATTTCTGGGAGGATGGTGGCAAAGTAGGTCTCTGCCAAATGCAATGGCTGTTTCTGTGCTACTTCACCTTTGTAGGAGACACTCCTTAAGCCTAATTCTCCATAGGGCACAGGTCCCTCTGATGTGCTGTTGCCAGCAGCTTATTTCAGACTCTCTGTGGTGAGGAACACCCAGGGTTTTCAGCTGGGCTCAGTTCCTCCTTCTCCAGCAGAAGATGAGCTTTAAGTCTGCTGAGCAAGGTTTAACGCCCGGTTTCAATTGTGATGTTGGAACAAAATTTACATGTTCAATACTAAAACAATCATCATCTGTGCTTGTTAATGGTACTTCTCTCTAGGGACTTCACCATTTTCCCCCACTGTGTTTCAGCTGCTAGTATTAGCTGCTAGCAGGTTGAGGGAGGTCATTTTGCTCCTCTACTCCATTCTGGTGAGACCCCACCTGGAGTCCTGCATCCAGCTCTGGAGCCCTCAGCACAGGAAAGACATGGACCTGTTGGAGAGGGTCCAGAGGAGGGCCACCAAAATGACTGGAGGGATGGAACACCTCTCCTGTGAGGACAGGCTGAGAGAGTTGGGGTTGTTCAGCCTGGAGAAGAGAAGGCTCCGGGAAGACCTTATTGCAGCCTTCCAGTTAAAGGGGGCCTGTAGGAAAGGTGGGGACAGACTTTTTAGCAGGGCCTGTAGCAATAGGGCAAGGGGTAACAGTTTTACACTTAAAAGAGGGCAGATTTAGACTAGATAGAAGGAACAAATTTTTCCCAATGAGGGTGGTGAAACACTGGCACAGGTTGCCCGGAGAGGTGGTAGCTGCCCCATCCCTGGAGACCCTCAAGGTCAGGTTGGACGGGGCTCTGAGCAACCTGATCTAGTTGAAGATGTCCCTCCTCACTGCAGGGGGGTTGGACTAGATGGCCTTTAAAGGTCCCTTCCAACCCAAAGTTTCTATGATTAGGGTGTCTGTAGTCCAAACGTTGCCTTGTTTCTGAAGCTAAAGCTAACCTGCAAAGTTGGTCACTGTACTTTCTCTGTTGCTGCTTCGCTTTGCCTTCAGTATGCTCCGGGTGGTCAAATCTGGCTTGTGTTCGGCCTGGCCCAGCCTCAGCCGCTGCCTTGTTTGAGGACCCAGCCTCTGGGCGCAGAAGCCACCAGTGAGGACATCTGGGCCTGTGCCTGGGTGCTGCACATGGCCTCACTGGGCAGTGGCCAGGCATGGGGGCACGGCCTGGAGTATGTGGGTATTGTCCCCTCAGTTCTGCCAGCCTAATTATTAACAAAATCCATGCATTTTAGCTAAAATTGTTGTTGTCTGTGCTGGATGTGCAGAACCAGGGGATTAGTGTTCTCTGGCAAGAGCCTAAAGCAAGTAGCTCTGAGAAAACTGAGCATGGCCACTGATAAACTGCATCTGCTGCAGTCCAGCTAGGGTCCTCCCACCCTTGTACAATCCCTAAGGTACCACAGGACCTACTTTGACACCACTGTTCCCACTTGGGCTCTACCCTTTCTGTTGGGCTGGTGCAGCAGCTAAAGCTGCGAGGAGGACTGAGCTCAGAGCTGGTCTGGTTTAAATATAACTTTCTCCTTCCCTCTGGATCTTTGGACCTGGGCCTATTCCAAGTTTGTTTTTATCTCTGCCTCCCAGACCATGTACTGGCACAGGCGAGTAGGTGGAAAGAAGCAGCAATGGGATTGTCAAACTGGCACTACGGCCAAGAAAAAAAAAGGTTGATCATTGAATTATGCATTGAGCAAGAAGCGCTTGGATGTGCTGAGGGAAACAGCCCCTTCCTGCTAACTACCGCTGTGCTTTAGTTGAAGGGACATGTTACAACTGAAACCACTTTTTCAGTCTTCCCTCCCTCCCCCCGCCCCCCCCCCCGGCTTTTTTTCCATGTGAATTCTTAAACTTTTTGTAGTAGTCTGAACCACAGATAAGTTACAGCTGTACAGTAGGTGAGAGGTTCTTGCTTCCCCCCTCTCCTCAGAAATGCATTGTGCCATAAATGTTTGCAAGAGTGGAGTTCTGTTTCTGATCTTGAAGCAGAGGTACATCACAATGCTATCTCCTTCCTTCTTTAGCATGAAATGAAGGATGCACGATTTTGAGCGTTATTAAAAGCAGCAGTAAAAATCCTTGCAGGGTGGTAAAGATTACATATGACTTGCAGACACAGGCCCAAGGCAGTGAGGTTCTTGATGTTGCCAATTTGCTTCATTACCAAAAGTTATTTTTTCATTAACTTTATTTAGCTATCACCTTCCTTAGTTAAGGAAAGTCCAGCTGTTGGCAAAACTGACTTTTCCATTGCTGTACCAAAAATGGAAATTTTGGGGAGACTTAACTGGAGTCTTGGTGAAAGATCCTAAGTTGTTGTGTACTAGAACTATATAAAAATACCATTGTAGTTCTTGGGGATTAATTTAATGGACATTCAACTATCTGTTGCCTAAGAATCTCATGTTCATTCAAATGCCAGCACATTTATGAACCTTATACACAGAGCAGTAGATAATGCCTTCTTTGGGTATGCGTATTATTTTATATTCCTGCATGTATAACATTGCCTTTGAAAAAGCTGGCCTCTCCTGGAGCATGGTTACCCAAGGGGTAGGGTGGGTTGTCTGCTCAGTGCTGGTGCAGACCAGGTCGGAAGAAGCTGATGTGGATGAGGGAGGAAAGTGCTGTGGCTGGGTGCTGTAGGTCCTGCTGATGTGCAAGTTGCTGTGTTGCAGGCCTGTCCAGAGGTGAATATGTTTGCCAGGTGACCTAGATGTGCTCTAGGAAAAAGCCGTACTTGTCAGCGATGTGCATATTCGAAGAAGTGTCTATAAGATGGATTTGCAGAGCAGCATAGTGACACTTAAAGGTTTTTCTTTTTTCTAATGGTGAACTATTTGCCTTTCTGACGGTTATGCACCACATTCATGTTTTACTGAGACTCCTGTGCAGTGATGGAATAAGGTGCATGGTGAGAGGCTCTAAATTACCAGCAATTGTTTTATCTCACTCCTGACCTTACTTGTCCCACCATTATTTTTGGGATTATCAGCACTGAGTCTTTCGCAATTTTATCATGTAGTTAGTTGCTAAAGCACAGTACAGAGGCAGTGTCGGTTAAATATCTTCTGTTCTTGGCTGCTTGTTCCTGCTCACTCCTCTGCGGAATCTGCTTAGGTCACGTTGTAAACCTGAGCACTAGCGTGGCCTGTGTATCAGGGGAAGAGGATTACTTTTGCAGAGTTTAATGTGTAGTTCACTGATCTGGTTTATAGCACAGCCTAAGAGTTGGTGGAGGAGGTGAGAGGAAACCTATGCAGGAACTTCTAAAGATGACTGTGGTGGAACTGCTTGAGGAGGCAGTCAATAGCAATTTCTTTCTGTATGAATGAGGAAGGTATCTGAAAGTTTCCTTTTTCTCTTACAGGTGAACAAGAATTTTGCAATTGATTTGATAGCAGAGCAGCCTGTGAGTGAAGTGGAAAGCAGAGTGATATCATGCGATGGTGGTGGTGGAGCTCTGGGACATCCTAAAGTATACATAAACTTGGTAATATCATTATTCTGTGTATAGCATGTTTTGCCTGTAAATTCTTGTTTGTAAATTTGTCTACTTTTTGGCATGTTAGTTTAACAAAGTGAAAGGAGTAACCACCTGAGATGCTAATTTTATTTGGTGCCTAATATAAAATTAAGATTTCTACTTGGAAGAGTTAGAGGGTTCCCATTTGAAGTTACAGACGTTTCTTTCTGAAACTTTCATTTGTTGATAGGACAATAATTTTTTCTTGAAAATAGAAATTAACTGAAGTAATATGAAAAAGTAGTGCCTTGACACAAAAAATAACATGCTTGCTGTGTTTTGAAACACTCTAATTATTTAAATGCCACTGTGTAGATTGAGGATAAGTTTGCAATATTCTTAGGAATATGCAGTATTCCTAAGAAACAAGGGAATTAAGCACTTTATAATGATTGATTTTACATTATTCAAGTCAAATGCTTGGAGGTTCTAATTCATTACACTTACGAAAGTAGTGTTGTTCAGTCTTAAGTCAACTTGTGTAGCACATGGCTGATCAGTTGCATTCAAGTTGATTTGTTTGACCTGCATCACGCTCTTCTTGAAGAATACTTTAGTGTTTGTGAATCTTGAGATCTTTTTGTGTTAACAATCAAATTACAAAACATCTGTAGTTTAGTTCATGAGAGTTGATATCTGCCAACAGAGAGAATGGTACTAGACCAGTGTGTTTCCCGTAGCACTAACAATTGAAATCCAGGCTTTCGGGGGGGAGGGTAGTCTGGATTTTTCACTTCTAACCCTGTATTAAGGAAGGGGAACCATGAGTTTGCTTTGTTTCATGACTGCAAATAATTATGTTGCTAAACAACAGAAGATCCCTGAGTGTTTATCTAACTGTCTTGTCTTTTGTTGTGTTAAGAACTACAACAGCTTGCAATCTGTCACACTTCTAAATTTTAAAAAATATATGTATCTTTTGGAGAGAAGAATAACCTTTTATACCATAGTAACTGCTACTTTTCTCCAGAACACTTTCTT